GTTTAATTTAAAAAATTCTGCATCTTCCAGCACTTGTCAGTGTTTAAAAAAAAACTTAAAAGTTCTGCTGGGGCATTAGAAACCAAACCTTTGGTACTACCTGCTGATTTAATTAACAGTGGACACCTTCATATTCTGGTAACCAATTAAAAATCCTTAGTTTTTTAACAGAGCCATAACTTCCAAGCTCTTTTCCCAAAGAAAATCGTTATCAGTCACTTTATTTACTGATGACAAATTGTAGAGAGAATCAATCTCAAGAGACCCGACCCCTCTGAACTTCCATTGTTACAGACTGGAAGGAGGTCTCCCTGTAAGTGTGCAGCTAGCTCCTAGGTCAGTGTTATGCATCAGGGCTGTTAACCTAGCTTTGCTAGGAGATGTCCTTACTGAGGTGCTGTGCTCTTTTTTAGCTGTGAACTCAGGTGATTTATTTCATCTGATATGTTCTGTTATCTAAGAGGTGTGGAGATAACATCTGAACTGCTTGTCTCACAGGATGATTTTGAGGATCAAATGAGGTAATATGTGGTAGCACTTGTAAGCTGTAGAGCACAGTACAAAGGTAAGTAATCTTTTCCTAGGCATCTTAAAATGTGGCAGTCTCAGTAAATATTTAGTTAAGAAGTATAGCAGTTTAATTAACTCTAGGTGTTTTGTCTGCAATATTGTGATAAGCCTTAGGAAGACTTGCCCAGGTAAGACAAGTAAGGATTCCATGGTGATTAAGAGTGTATGCTATAGAGCCAGACTCTTAGGTTTGTATTTGGCCTCCTCGGTTACTACCTCTGACAAGTAACTCTTGGGTTATTGTAAATAACGAGTAAAATGTTTGTAGCTCTGGTGGCAGAATGGTTAAACGATCGGCTGCTAACCAAAAGGTCTGCAGTTTGAACCCACCAGCTGCTCTGTGGGAGAAAAGCCCTGGCAATCTGCTCCTGTAAAGACTTCAGCCTAGAAAACCCTATGGGGCAGTTCTACTTTGTCCTATAGGGTCACTATAAGTTGGAATTGACTCGATGGCACACAACAACAAAATGCTTGGAATAGTTCTGGCACATAGTAAGCACTCACTATGACTGTTATTAGATACTTCAGCATCCATGGTTGAACGCATGGATTTCACTCCCAAAAATCCACAAAGTAATGGTAAAGAGATTTTTTGAAAGACAAGAAACATAGGCGAGGGGACGAGCAGAGAAGAGATACCAGAAAAACAAGTGGGGAAGTAGTAACTGATCAGAAAAAGTTGAAAACTAAGCAAGATTGGGGTTAGGAGGAGCCAAGAAGGTGTGAGCCGCTTTGTACCACAGGATTTCAGAAAGACTCAAGAATTAGATCCACACTAGGCACCTCTGACAGTGGGGGTGCAGGTGGGGCTTAAAAAGTGAGAACTGGTTAAAGGTGTAGGAAACGGAGTTAGAAGGAAACGGAGTTAGAACCACAGGTCCCTTTCTCTGTACCACACAGTAGAGACTATGCCTTTCCTACACTAGTGGAATATTAGAGGCTGAGTTGAAGGTTGAACCAGAGGGACTCTGGACTTGGGGACATCATGCAGATCCAAAAGTGGCGGGCCATATTGAACTTCAAGAACATTGGTAACTAGGTTTAAACCCCTCTGCCGCAACCCCTCCCTCAGGCAGGAAATCGGTGGGTTCCTCTCTAGAGACGTTGGCCTAAGAGAAGGGAGCTGTGAATGTCTGACATTTTTGGGATCCCCAACAAAATAGTTAAATCCTTGACCAGTCATCCTACAGTGATGAATAATTACCTAACAGCACAAAACTTCCTAACAATATTAAAAGATAATTTGCAAGAAGGAAAAACATCTAGTAAAATTGCCTAGCACCAAAGGTGGCAGTAGTAAATAAAAAAGTTTGGGAGTATTTTATCAAAATTAAGGATCATCAAGGATTAAGGTTTCTGACTTAATCTAGAACTGTTGGCCCTCATGTACACCTCTTGTGATGTTCTATCATACATTTTGACACTTTTTCAACAATTATGGCACTTTTGATGCCATAAATGATTTGGTTGCCAGCATGCTAGGGGAAGTGGCAAATAGCGTTGGCTACAGGCATTTTTTCCATCGTGCCGCTATACTGACCTGAGTTACCTTGAAATTCCCCTGCCTAGCAATTCCAGTAGAGAGTTGTCCCTCTGTGTGCCCCTACTGGTGTGTGGAAACTGCCATATTCAGGGAGAGGGGATTTCTTTTGAAATAATCCAGTTGGAAACCAACTAATTGGCGCTTCATAATGTTTAAAGGAGGCCCATGGCTCCTCTGAAGGTACTAGATTCTATAGGAAGAGTGGGTTGCATTTGTAATCCGGTCCTCTACTGATCTTGAAATGTAGCCCACTTGGGACCCTAGAGAGCTAGCTGTAAACAAAAGAAGCAGCTTACATTGGGAGACCTGGCTGAGATTCTCAGGTATAAAGAATCCACTCTGGGCTGATAGTGGGATGAAACAGTTGAAGCTCAGAGGTAGGGGATCTGTTTTCTACATTTTTCACTTCTTAAATTTGAGTTGCTTATAGGACAATGAGTTAAGTGAGTAAAGATGAAAGTTAAGAGGCCTTACTTTAGAATTCCCCATTTGGTGGGCTTTCTTAACCAAAAGGATTATAGTTTTATTCTAGTCTGACTCTTCCTCTTTGGGTCTATGCTAAGAAAGGGAAGAGATTCCTGCAGTAGCTGGAGATAAGCCAGAAGCTGTTCTGACCCTTTTTGATTCATAGTAACAGGATAAGATAGGCTGTATTCAATGCTTTTTTTGGGGGGTGGGAGAAGGGAGTGAGACAAATAGTTACTAATGTAGATAACACAGAGCCTTAAGTAGCTCTGAATTCTGAAGCTGTAGTGATATAATGTTTTTTCTTTACTTCCTTAACTTTAATTACTGGAAAGAATGGTTATCACGTGATAGTTACTGTTTTTGGATGGTCGGTAATTCATTGTTTCCCTTCCATCTTTTGAGAAAGGGAATATCTTCCAAGTTACAAGTCCAAATTAATGGAGGGAATTGTGGTAGCCCTTGTAACCAAAAAGTGATTGTCGATTTAATTTATTTTTTCTCTGCACTATAGCCAAAGACTGATAGTGAATCTTGCTGCCTCTTCAGCTAATAGAGAAAGCAGGCAAGGAGTAGCACTTGTTCTTGGAAGAAACACTACCGCATTTATCCAGAGGGACAATTAGGTTTTTCTTCGCTCATAAAATTAACACTTGTCATATGGCTACCAGAATTCCTGAAAACCTGAAGGCATCTCCCACCAGGAAGAAGGTACAGCCCCTAAATCACAGGCACAAGGAAGCTAGCCAAGAATTAACCAAAGATTACATTCAGTCCGTTGATTATCTGTGCAGTAACAGAAGGAAAAGTTCAGTCTCTGAAAGATAGAGGAGACAAGGGGAAGGAAGGAAAGCAGTCTTCAGTATATGAATAAGGAAGAAGAGTATTGAAAAGATATCTGCATCTGATTTTAGCACAGCTCTGTATTCTGGCAGATCTAAACTGTGTGGGCAGTGGCCTTGGGTGTTGCCGTGGGCTACACTAAAAACACCTCAGGAAACATTCTATTGTGCCACTCTGCAAGAGTTGAGAATACCTTTAGTGGAAGAGGTGTCTGAATTTGTTCCTAGAAGCTTTATGTAGGCAGGGACCATATCTTTTGCTCTTAAATCTCTAGTATTCAGCACAATGTCTAGAATTTTCTAGTAGCCAGATGTTTCCGTCAGGTCACCATTGCTCATATATGCAGACATGGGAATATCCTGAGAGTTATAAACTTTAGTATCAATAAATAATATAACTGATTCATAATGATTATCCTGATGTTTTTGAAAGGTATACATTGATTTTCATATAGTCTATAGATGGACTCTTTCTAAAATGCATTCTATCTATACATGCCAGTTTTAAAGTTTTTAGAAGAGTTTCTGCTTATGCTAAATAAGACTTCTCTTCCCAATGATGCTAGAAATAACCAGTTTAACCCCAAATAGGCATTGTCTTAAACGGTGTAGTACTCTTGTCTTGGATCATCTGCCATCCTCCTGAGTCTTTATATCTCATTCTGGGCAAGTGTTAACCATCAATTTGTAGATTTTGGCCAGTTTTGTCAACCAGTTTTGTTTTATTGCTATCTTATGGTGCCATCTACTGAAACAAACAGGTAATCAAAGAGTTGGATGAAAGGCAAAAGTTCAGAGGACTAGAATTTTAGTGCTCGGAAAACTGTTAGAAGTCATCCAGTCCGATGGTGAATTTTCCAAATTATTGCAGTCCTCCAGTTTAGAGAATTTCATGGCTATTCTGTCATTTTTATGAGGCTTTTTCAGTCTTAGAAATAAATTATGAATAATGAGAGTAGAATAGGAAGTTAACGAGAAACTTGTGAATTGTAAACACATGGTGGCATTCAAAAAAGACTGCATGAAGAACCTTAAGGGGACTCGAAAGAGGATGTTTGAACAGTGCAGAAGAATGAATTATATTTGTATATACTAAAAGGAAAATTAAACGAAATGTTTAATAAATAGGACAAGCTATTTCCCCCAGTAAAAATTCAAGGCTAGTGATAAAATGGAAAACATACAGAGAATAAGAAGATATGGGTCAGAGGATTGTATATATGTAAGTTTAATGTATGTACATTATGTTTAAGGTGAATTTAATGTAGCATTTTAGGCACCGTGCTTTATGGTGACAGGAGTATTGGGAGATTTCTTTAATTAGAATGAGTATGAAAGTTTTAAATGGATATGCAAGAGTAAAGAAGTTTTGCTGTGAGATTAGTTGGGACTGTTTTATGAACTCACTTTCCTAGCTAAATGTATCAGAAAACTTTATTGGTTGTATAGGAAGGTTAATGAGCATACATTTAATGCAAGCAGTGACATCTATTATGTCCCTGGTTTTCTCACCATCCAAATATTTACCTAGCCAAGAGGAGCATGCCCTAATGCCCTTTTCATTTCCTTTATCATTTTAGCAGCGTCACCCTTTACACCAGAAAGCTGGCGGGCACTATGGGGAAGAAACAAAACAAGAAGAAAGTGGAGGAGGTGCTAGAAGAGGAGGAAGAAGAGTATGTGGTGGAAAAAGTTCTCGACCGTCGAGTGGTAAAGGGCAAAGTGGAGTACCTCCTAAAGTGGAAGGGTTTCTCAGAGTAAGTGTCGTTGACGCAGGTAGATCCGTTCATTTAGTCACCAAATATTTATCAGCAGTCTAGTAATGTGCAAAGCCTAGGATGCTTCAGTGGATATAGTGTGACTGTTCTGGCCTTCATGGTTTATAGTCTTTTTAGGAAAGTGACCTACATGCACAGACTATAATGCAAGACATAATAGGACTTCTGAAGAGCATTTTTGTGTGTGGCTTCAGACACATCCAAGTTTGCAAAGAGTGAGTAATTTTCCTTTGAGGGAAGAAAGTTTTTTCTGAGCTTTCAGTTTGTACTAAAAAGCTCCCAAGAAGTTTCAGCTTTCCCAAATTCTTAGTCTTAGATGAAATCTAGCTACTCATTATCATTAATTCTTCTTTTCCAAGAAGACCAGCTCTTGTTCTGTTTATTCCTAGTATTAGTATGCTAACTTTGAGTAGAAAGTGTGACTCTCTGTGCCTTCTGGTTTCAGTGAGGACAACACATGGGAACCAGAAGAGAACTTGGATTGCCCCGACCTCATTGCTGAGTTTCTGCAGTCACAGAAAACAGCTCACGAGACAGATAAATCAGAAGGAGGCAAGCGCAAAGCTGACTCTGATTCTGAAGATAAGGGAGAGGAAAGTAAACCAAAGAAGAAGAAAGAAGAGGTAAGACTAGAAGTAGGAATTTTTACTAGCCCAGAATTAACACTGCTGTCGAAGACCTTGAAGGCGAGATAATTTCAGTCATTATGTTGTGCTGATTCTTGGATCTCAGCAGCCATGTCCTCCCAGTCCTTCTGGAATCTTAGATAGGCTAATGCTTACAAAGTGTTTGGTGGCTTAGTCTAGAGAAGCCACATAATCTACTTTTACACTTTATCCGTGGCACAGAAGCAATGAATGCAACAGTTATTGGGGACAGACAAGCTCAAATGAATTTATTCCTGTAAATAACTTTCAGTGTTTTAGTTGTTAAAGGTTTGAAGTGCATATTTTGACTTGTTCAACACATTAAAGTAAGTTGTCTTCTGAGGATGAAGAAACAGTTGTGAACATTTTATTTTGCTTGAGATGTATGTCCCTTTTTACATATGGGAAAACCTAAAGCACTTCAGACCTTGATGGAATAATCACTCAGAAGGAGCCTAAAAAGCCTATTACTTGGAGCCAAGGTATTGATGAAATATTGGCAAGAGTTTGTGATTATATTAACCAGAGAAACAGGAATAACCACAATCTTGTCAAGTGTCTAGATAAAATTGTTCTGCCCATCTGGTTTTTACAGTCAGAAAAGCCACGAGGATTTGCTCGGGGTTTGGAGCCAGAGCGGATTATTGGAGCTACAGACTCCAGTGGAGAGCTCATGTTCCTGATGAAATGGTGAGTCTGCCAGTGGCTCTGTGTAGTTGTTTTTTTCTTCTCCCCATCTGTTCCATGCCAGAGGAAAAGAGCTGGACCTTGGAAATTCCAGTCGCCCAGGTGTGAAATCTTTAAGATGACATAGTCCTTCGATAGTGACCCTCGGCCTGACTGCCAACTTGGACTCATGAGTTACAGGTAGGGGCCCTTAGGACTTTCAGATCTTTGCCCGTTTTTTTAGGAGGTGGGAGAAAATCTAGAATGGAGAGGGTGTGGGGAGGAGTCACATTTCATTTCTGTAAATGAAGGAGAAAATGTGAAATGTGATTGGACCACCCTCCCCTTCTACCACCTCCTTAATAAAGATCGGGCTGGCCCCAGGAGATTCTGTTAACTTCTCAGGGTTAGGAACAAATTTCATTCAGTAGCTTTTTCTTTGACTTTATTATATCCCTTCTGGTTTGTGCTGCAGATTCTATTTCAGAGTCAGCCAGCAGGGGTCAGCAGGGCCCCTTTACTGTTAAGGAATACAGAGCTAGCCTACTTTTTTCCATTATAAGTATAAATACCAGAGATAGTAATACCCCATGAAACAGCTTAATGAAGACAGTTATCTTGAGAATCTTGAGAACTGTAATTAACCCAAAATTCTCTATCGTTTCCTTACTTTCTGTTCAAAAAGAAGCTGTCCTTCCCTTTATCTTGCTCGTTAAAAGATGTTTGTGCCCCCCCCCCTTTTTTTTTTCCAAAGTAGATCTCAATCCTTACAATATAAAGTTAGGAGTGAATAATTCTAAGCTTTTGCCAATGAAGACAGCATTCCAGGAGCTCTGGTTGTCTTTTGTGAATCTAGAACCGTCTGTTAAACTTGTATCTATATTAATTCCTCTCCTTTAGTAAATGACCTGAGAGGCCTAACTTTAGCCTGTATCACAACTAGCTAGCCCTCTGTGGTCTTTGTGTGAATTCCCTAGGTGTTTACTGAATATAACCCTCTTTTAACTGATTTACTGCTAGCCTATAGGAGAAAAGTTCATTTTTAAGGTGCTGCATATAGGGGAAAAGAATTGATACCAGGAATTATTCAGTCTAGCTGAAATGTACTTTGTCTGCATGTGACCAGTCTGAGTTCCAATAATATCTTCACATTGCTTAAGATTTTACTCTTCTGGTGATTCACTACTATGTGCAAAGATGACAGCTGAATGTAACTCTAGAATTTAAGATTGGACATTGATTACAAAACCAGGCTTGTTATTAAAAAAAGTAATTTTCCTGGAGAGTGGAGATACTTGCCCATTCCCAAATCCGGCAATGTTTCTGTTCAGTGAAATGACTAGACCTACTTCAGAGGGTGCTGTTGAATTGTCAACAAAGGAAGGCCTGCTTCAGGTTCCCCATACTGTTACATCTTTTTCCTTACCATTCTGTTGGGTCTAGTGCTCAAAAACATACCTATAGGCTTACTCTTTTCTGGTCCACTGGAGCTGTGTGGCTTTAGTTTACCTGTTGCTGGAGGTTTTGGGTAGTTCCTAGTCAGAGATCCCATTGTATACCTCCTGTCTGCCCTGTGCTACTGCTTCCGTCTAGGATACTCCCGTGACCTGAAGATATAGCTTACTCTCCTAATCCCCTTATGTTGTGTGATTTTCAAATTTTGAGGACATTTTGAAATTCAGAAAAAATATAGAGAATTAGTAGCAACAGACTCATTTCCCATCTCCCAGTGTTGAAGTACCATGTCAGAGCACCTGGGGTTGTGCCACATTTGTGTGAGCATGGCATTTGTAGTGTTCCATAGCATAATGTGAGTAAGCAAGAAAATGTCCACCTGCATTGGCTCTTGGTATATACAGTATGGAATTAAATCCTATTACAAAGCCAAGATCTCTCTATGGGCTTTTATCACTGGGATATGGTGTTTGGAATGGTGATGGCAGCCTCTCCTCTTCCGTCAAAGAATCTAGAGAATCATGATTTTGGGAAGGCGGTGGGGTGGCAGGGGGCGGGGGGTGGGGACTTTCCCAGAGGTTCAGATGTGATAGGTTGAGCCAGGTGACCCAACTTTTGACAAAGGTACCCAAAGGGAATTTTGAACAGGAGAGGATCCCTGAAATGTCATTTGACTAAAAGCTGCCAGTAAATACTACTTGAGCCATGTTAGCACCCTTCTGTAGCCTATCTCTTCTGGAAATGATATTTTTAAAGCCCTATCCCCTGGGTGATCCAAGTTAGGCTACCAGCACCTGGTCTCAGAAGGCTCTCTGTGCTTTGTTCTGCAGGAAAAACTCTGATGAGGCTGACCTGGTCCCTGCCAAGGAAGCCAATGTCAAGTGCCCACAGGTTGTCATATCCTTCTATGAGGAAAGGCTGACGTGGCATTCCTACCCCTCGGAGGATGATGACAAAAAAGATGACAAGAATTAACTCTACTGAGTACGAGCCCCTGTCACATGACTGTGGGTTTAAAGTGGGGAGGGAAGGAGTACTACTTGTCTTGACACCATAGAAGTGGCTTGAGAAGATGTCCTTTGAAGAGCCGGTATAGTTTCTGTGCCCTGCAGCAGCCCAAGTGCTTTAAAGCTGTACCGTGCTGTATAGATTGCACACCCATCCCAGTGGAGGGGAGGGGATAAGTGTTTCAAGGCAACCCATTCTGCACTTTGCTGGGAAAAGCAAAGGGCCTTCTATGAAGGACAAAACTTGCAGAGTGGGTGTGTGGGAGAGCAAAGAGATACTGTAGATCTTCAAAGAGCATCTCCACAACCCACAGCCTTCTTCCCAATAGTGTTAACTCTGCATTTTTACAGCGTAGCATGTGTGTAGTTTTTGGCTATTACTGGTGTACTATTTGGGGGTGGGAGGGAAGGGTGGGGAAGAAGGGAGATGAGTAGGCTCATTTTTGTTAAAATTTGGGGCCTGATTGGGGAAATAGTGAAACAGTAGAAGGAACAACTATTGATTTTGTTCTATGTCCAGAATGTTTTACCTTTTTTAAAAAAAAAAGTAATTGGCAACATAAATAAGGACTGTAAGAGACTGTTTAAAAGCTCTGAATGCCTGGAACCTATAAGCCAAGGTATTCCCTGCCTGAGCTTAATGCTGTCCCCTACAAAGGACTAAGCCAGTAAGTTTTACCAAAGCTGCCATTTTGGAGTTGGAAACTGACTGAGGAGGAAGTGATTTTTATTGGGAAGTATACACAGGGAGATTATTCTGTTTTAGAGGTGCTAATTCTTGAAATTGACAAGAAGACCCTTTCTTTTCCAATAAGTCATAAATACCAGCTTGTCCATCCAAGCCAGGCTAAACTATTTGGGGGAGGTGAAGAGGGTGGTATAGGAGATGAGAGAGTAGGAAAGACAAAGGCACGTGCTTTTAGGGTGGAGCCACTCTGTTGTTTGAACTTTGAAACCCTTGGTGGCAGGGTTCAATCACTAACAGCACAAGTTTCATTGAATCGGTTCAAGAGTTGAAAGATTTCAAAAGCCCAAGCGAGTCTCAGGAGAAGATTAAACTTTCACACTGGGGCAGTGGTTCACTTAAAAAAAAAAAAAAAAAATTTTTTTTTAATCCTAAGAATTACCTGATACCCAAAATGCTTTGTCTTGAATCATGAGATCCATCCATTCTTGACATCTAAACCCGCAACTAGAGCTGCATTGTAAAATCTTTTTAGGCATGTATTAGGTTTCTGTGAAAACTTTGTTTAAATGTAAACTTCATACTACCCTGTCAGTTTTTGTCTTAATAAAACTATAGATTTATAATCCCTGATTTCTGTTTTATGTCTTGCGAGAACTCCTTCTTGCTTGCTATTGCCTTATAGGTTCAGCCTCTATTGGAAATGGCTCCCACACTTGGATGGTTTTATTTCTTGGACATTATAGGTGGCACAGTGGTTAAGAGCTCGGCTGCTAACCAAAAGATCCACAGTTTGAATCCACCAGCTGCTCCTTGGAAATCCTATGGGGCAGTTCTACCCTGTCCTATTGTGTCACTATGGGGAGTCAGAATCAACTCAATGACAACAGGTTTATAGGCTTGAAAATGTGGTTGTTGGTTTAAATCTTTAGTGATCTTGCCATATTAATTTAGTAAATGTTTATCAAGCATTTATAATTGCTCCAGAGATTATAAAGATCATCACATCATTCTGTCTTTGTATTGTTCAAATTTTATTTATTTATTGAGTACTCTGTGACCTAATAGCACTGCAGATTATGTTATGCTTGGGAACATGGGTTTTGGAGTAGGCTTTAGATCCTAGCTCTGGTATTTCATAGATTTGACCTTGGCTAAAATCAGCTTCTGACCTATGCGTTCCATGTCTAAAAATACAGAGTTGAGAATTACGTGAGGCAAGTGTGTGAGTGCCTAGCATAAGCCCAGCATAGAGTAGGCTATTATTAAGAATAGTCTGTGGGAATCTTTAATGAGATGACCTATCTTTGGGAGGGATTCAGGGAATATAGTAATTGGCCCTTCCAGAAATTTCAGGAATTGGCCTCATGTTTGAGCACTGAATTAAAATGTCCTCCATTTTCTTAATGTCATTGTCTGCCTATTATTCTACAGCCAAATGGGACTAGACTTTTGTCATTCATAAAAAAGGGAAAATGGTTTTTCTACTGAGATCAAATCAATATAATAATTGAACTTTACTCACAAATACAAATCATTTATTTCAGATAAACTGATGTGCAGATACTTTCTTCAAAAAGCCTCCAAGGGGAAGTGTTGGTGAGAGTAAAAGTGGAGGAGCCGGGGAGGTTACTGAAGGTCTGGGTCACGAAGCTGTCTTTTTGTGCAGAGGTACAGTAGAACAGCAGTCGGTAGCTACCTAAGCTAAACGGGTTGGCTTAGATGAGTCTAACTGAAATGAGACTTCAGCCTTAGCATTTGTCCAAAATGGGCTGCTATTCAGTTTTAGCCTTAACCTTTGGAACCTACTTCTTCGTCATTTCTGGCATTCCTGCACTGTTATAAAAACCATATAAATCTCCCCCAGGGAAGATACTGAAATTGATTATGCACGTAATGAAAGTTGAGGGGAAGACAGACATTCAGAGACAATTCTGTTACCTTTAAAAGCCAGTTATCATAGTTCTAGATCCAAGGTTTAAAGATAAAAATTTTTCTCAAGTGATTGTTGAAGCCACAAATGCACGCATAAAACACCAGAAATAAAAAATATAAATAGGCACACCAGTCTTTGTAAGTCTGCTTCAGAAAGTATTCAGAGAACATTTCTTCAGGCAGTGCAAAAACTTGGTTGGATGGCTTTGATGAAATTGCATCATCACTATAGACTCTAGCCCAGGTGTTGAAGAGGAGATAGTTTTTACTTTAGTTACTATTTAAAAAGAAGGAAAGCTTACTAACAAGATGACAGCATCATTATTTGCCATGTTCTATGTTAAAGAGTCAACTATGAGTTGGAATCGACTCAATGGCAACAGGCTGGTTTTTTTATTTTTATGCTGGCCAAACCAAAAACCAAACCTGTTGCTGTCCAGTCGATTCCGACTCATAGTGACCCTGTAGGACAGAGTAGAGCTGCCCACTAGGGTTTCCAAGGAGTGGCTGGTGGATTTGAACTGCCAACCTTTTGGTTAGCAGTTGTAGCTCTTAACCACAGCACCACTAGGGCTCCCCTATGGCTCCCCTATGCTGGCAGAGCCTGTCAAATACCTTGCTCCTCCACCATCTTCAGTTAAGTAAGCTGTTTATCATCAGAAATGTACAGTATAACACTTAAACCATCAGGTATCATCTTATATTCCAGAACTCATTCTGTGATGGTCATAAATTCAGGCTCAGCTCAATTTGATTTTAAACCTTGGCCATTTGGTATTTGGCCATGTGTGTTCAGTACATCTTTGCAGTCTGTGGTCTGTAGCAGTGGGAATCTGCATTATAAAGCAGTTATTTACTTCATAATAAAGGGAAAATGATCAAGGAAATTGCTACTCCAAAGTAATTTGGTGGAACCAGAACTCTAAAATCCAAAACTGGCTCTTTCTGCAGTAGCTCCAGATCCTTCCTGAACTGTGGAGCTCAGTTCTGCTGGAAATCAAGTTAATCTGATTAGGTTATCTGATGTGTGAGTTGGCCTTCTCATGAGGATGTTCTCATTTAAAACTTAGAGCTGATAGGACTGAACCAAGTCCAGGCTCGGTGTTAGTCTCCCCCCACCAGAATCTGATGGAAATAAAAGCATGACAACCAGGCCAGAATTCAGTTCAGTAAAAGTCTTTGCTTTACCTTGCCTTTTAACAGTAGAAGGCAATTAGCAGGTAGCGGCATCCTCGTGTTTTGGTATGTGATTAATGGAGTTTGATAGGAGCTTAAGACCCCGAGATAACTTTATCATAATCTCTCTGGATCTGCACATCACTTGGGTTTGACTGTGTCTACTATTGAGGTTTTCTTCAAAGGTCACTGCTTTCCTAGCAATGTGCCAAATGTAGTGTTGCTCAACTCTCTTATATGGATGACTTTTAATCAACCTTGACCTTGTGAGCTTCCCCCTGTATAGATTGTGGATGCTGAAAGCAAATGAAATCTGAAATAAAACTACCCTGCTGGGCTGAAAAGCATAGTTGGCTTTGCTCAGGATGGGGTGGAGGGCAAGGAGAGTGGTCCGTTTCTAAGGTTTTTTTTTTTTTTTTTTGCTTAGTTAGGCCAGCGAGGTGGCAGAAAGAAACACTGAGTTTAGAATATGTGCTGACAATTCAGCTTCTATTGTTTTTGTTTAGATTATGTAGCTTGTGTTAAAATATTCAACAGCAGGACTGGGTCTGCATTGTGACCTTGGTTTATGTGATGGTTTGTGATAGTACCAAGGCACTGTTTACCCAAAATGGATTTTTAAATCCTAGTTGACTTTGACTGAGCCTGGCCTGTTTGTTGTTTGCATAGCCCGGCTCAGCCTGGGCAAGTTTGGGGCCTGGCTCTGGGACACTAGGCCATTGTTTCAGTTGCTGCTTCAGCCTTTAGCTGAAGACTGGAAGGTTTAAGTCAACTGAATTAGCCTAATGAAACTTGGGTTTAAAACAAAAGGCAGAGCTCCAACTCCTTGGTCTTTTCTGTACCTCTCCCCAAGTGAACTAGATTTTGTTTCCTTGGTTGATACTGCATCTGGATTCAAGGAAAAAATACCGTGCAGCCTAACTTCGTTCTGAAGTTTAAGTTAGGCTGGAAAGAACCAGCTTTAAGACCTTCGTTGGTATCTTTGTATACTCAAAAATGACGACAAGGGCTTCTATCTAGTTGATTTTGAAAACATGTCTTTAGCAAGGTCCCATGCTGTCACCCCTCCAGGGACAACATGTGCACTAGATTCTGTTTCTCATCTAATTCAGGCAGACATGAACTTTCAAAGAAGTCCTGGACAGAACAAGGACAAACTCAAATCAGGTGTTAAGTTTCACGTGTATCGCAGCGGTCCTGTATGTCCATTCTTCACTATCAAGTTCAAAACCAGAGGCAAGGAGCATGACTGGCCTCTGTGAGAAGAAAGTAAAGGTGGAAGAAGCATTATTGTCCTTGGTACGGTGATAAAATGACAAGTCGAAGGTTTGTGATAGGAAAAACCGCTCGTGATAATCAAACACATGGGTTTTGTAACCGCTTGTGATAAACGCATGGGTTTTGCTAGAGAGTGCCTAACTTGATTGAGAAAATGACTTCCAGAGAGCCAGATACCAATGTAGTACCTGTGTCTGCATGTCTGCATCAACAGGGAAGCAGATTTCTTGCTGCCCACCTGTTCACCAGGTAGTGTCCTAAAAGTACATATTTACTCTGAGGCTGTAAAGTTACTGCTCTTGTTCAGTGCCTCCTGGCTGAGGTAAGATACTTGAGGGTAGTGGGGATGTTTCTGCAAAGCACTTGTTCCAACTAGTTGCCAAACAGACCTGAAGAGCCGCAAGGTCTGGTTTAGCTGGGGGTTGTGAAAGCAGAGATGAAGCCAGCCTGAGGATGGTTAGGGCTATATGGAAAGTACTTCCCCACTCACCAAGCTGTTCGAAGAGTTACTGCTTGGCTTTTCCTGGTAAAGGGGGCAAAAGTCAGTCATGGAGGCCAGGTCTTGATGACATTGAAGCACATGTCGAAATCACTATATCCCCATCTTCATGGTGAGATACTGTGCAGGGCCGAGGCTGAAACAATGGGTCTAACTCCATCTCCTTACATGAATAAAATGTGTGGAAATTAGTTTGAATGATACCTAACCAAAAGAGAAACCAAACCCACTGCTGTTGAGTCAGTTCCAACTCATAGCAACCCTGTGACAGAGTAGAATTGCCCGATAAGTTTTCCAAGGCTGTAAATCCTTACGGAAGCAGACTGCCACATCTTTCTCCCTGGAGTAACTGGTGGGTTCAAACTGCCGACCTTTTTGGTTAGCAGCCACTTTACTGCACCACTAGGGCTCCTTTAAATGAAGCCTAGGACTGCTGAAGTCAAGACAAAGTCCCACCCACACAGCTCACCCTGAAGTTTGCTCCTTAGTTAGGCCTAAGGCCTGCTCACACACACCTCTCCTCCTCCCTTACTCCAGTGAACTCGATTTTATTTCCTTGTCTTAGGTGGATAGGTTAGTGGTAGCAAGCCTTACTTGAGTTCTCATTTCCTGCCAGAAAGTGCCTTGAGGTTGGAACACCCACTCCACCTGCCAGCAGCAAAAAGAGGTCAGCCCCACACAGTGCTGACCAACTTGGCCCAGAGCCCCAGCTAATCAGCATGATCCTAGACACAACTGTACATCTCTCTGTAAGGGGACATGCCGGGCAGCAAAAATACACTTTCCAAGACCAGAGGCAACACTAGCAAAGGGGTAGAGAGTTTGTCTCTTGAAGTCTTATTAAATCTGTTAAGTTAAAGAAAAAAAGTTGCAAAACAAGAAGATAAAAGGTATAGTCTGATTGTGTACTAATAAAACAATATATACACATTTCTGGGATACAAAAACATATTAAATAACTCTCTTGTCAGTTTACCCTTCTATATACAATTTGTATTTTTTTTAATCATCAGCATGAAGTTTTTGTCTTGCTTTGTAGTTTTTTTGGTTGTTTTAAAGAAATTTGGTTTTATCTGGCTTATACACATCAGTCAATTCCTAATTAGGAAAGAGCTCTTATTTGATATGACCAATCCTTTCCAACTAGAGTTGGGGAGGGGGGCCAGTGCTTGTAAATTCAAACAAATAAATTAGAAATGTTATTCTTAGAATTCTATTCCACTCCTTAGGACAACTCTAGTAGCATTAAGGGACTGGGCTGAGCCAGGTTACACAGTGGTGCTCAGGAGTTCAAGATCACAGGTTCCATTATGGGCATTATAGCTCCTCATGGAGGCCTGCCTGCCAGGTGAATGTTCTTCAGGCACTTACTAAGCACCTGCCCTGGAGTGGGCATGTGGCAGTTCCACAGCCACCCAGAGGTACTTTAAAGCATCACAACTCTTCATAGGTTTGCTGTTAAGGCAGTTTGAGGAAGAACAGATACCCAATCAGCTGGGGAGGTTTTTCAATAATGCCTTGAACTCTGGGGCCTGGCTTTCTATTTCTGTTTTCATCATCCCCATTGGTTGTGACTGCACTCCAGTATTCCGCACACCTTTGGCTGGTGGGGGCAGCAGAGAAATAACAGCACGGTCCAGCTTAAAAAATGCAGTTTGTAGCAGGTGGGCTTAATTGTGCTCATGAGGAACATGTACATAGATCAAGGGGTAGTCATTCAAACATAACAAAGAGATAATTTGGTCTGAAGTCAGGAAAGGTGTGCATCAGAGTTGTATCCTTTCACCATACTTATTCAGTCTGTATGCTGAACAAATAATCCGAGAAGCTAGACTATATAAAGAAGACCAGGGCATCAGGATTGGAGAAAGATTCATTAACAACCTGCATTATGCAGGTGACACAACCTGGCTTGCTGAAAGTGAAGAGGACTTAAAGCACTTATTGATGAAGATCAAAGACCACAGCCTTCAGTATGGATTACACTTCAACATAAAACAAAAATCCTCACAACTGCACCAATAAGCAACATCATGATAAACAGAAAAGACTGAAGTTGTCAAGGATTTCATTTTACTTGGATCCACAAGCAACACCCATGGAAGCAGCGATCAAGAAATCAAAAGATGCACTGCACTGGGCAAATTTGCAAAAGACCTCTTTAAAGTGCTGAAAAGCAAAGATGTCAGCTTGAAGACAGGTGCACTAACCCAAGTCACGGTGTTTTCAATTACTTCATATGCACGCGAAATTGGACGATGAATAAGGAAGACCAAAGAACTGAGCCTTTGAATTGTAGTGCTGGCGAATACTGAATATACCATGGACTGCCAAAAGAACAAATCTGTCGTGGAAGAAGTGCAACCAGAATGCTTCTCAGAAGCAAAGATGCCAAGACTATGTCTTAACATACTTTGGACATGTTATCAGGAGGAATCAGTCCCTGGAAAAGGACATGATGCTTGGTAAAGGGTCAGTGAAAAAGAGAAGACCCTCAACGAGATGGACGGACACAGTGGCTGCAACAATGGGCTCAAGCATAACTATTGTGAGGATGGCGCAGGACCGGGCAGTGTTTCGTTCTGTTGTACGTTGGGTTGCTATGAATTGGAACTGACTCAATGGCACCTAACAACAACAAACAGGTGGGCAGGTAAGGAGCTGGGCCAGGTGATGGAATGCCTCCACCTAGCTTACTGAGCTCTGTAAGGGAAGGCTGGAAGAATTCTGAACCCTTCTCTGAGACAGCACCAGCTGGCATATCCTGTAAAGAGGTACGGGACACCTGCTTGGAAGGTTCAATACAGTATTTAAGAGTGCCTATTGTCAACCTCCCCTGCCCTCCACCCACCTTCACACGTGAGCTCTGCCTTAGCCACACAATGGCCCAGTCCCCCTCCACGGGGCCTGTTTCCTTACCATCAATTTAAACTCAAAGTAGGAAAACATTGCACCTGAGAATGAATCATCCGCTTTATTTTATTTCGTCATGTGCTCACAGCATCTCTCTCTCCCCTCTCCCTGGCAGGTCACATAGATAAATTAAAAATAAAATCTACAAGGAAAATAATTTATAAAAGCACTTCCCAGGCTCACGCCTTCTATCCCCACTGCTCAGAATACCCCCCCACGGGGAGGTGAATCAGTGCTTCCCCACACCCTCAACCCGCTCCCACTAGTCTGGGGCAGAGTATTCGAGTCGGGCAGAGATGGCAGCAATGACAGTTAAAGACACTGTGGTCCTGGAGCCATCTGGCCACTCAGAGCTCCATTTTGTGCTCCCCCAGGCAGTCTCCAGGAACCCTAGTAAGGCAGGGCTGTGGAGAAACTGCCTGTGGCTGAGAGCCTGAGGGAGGGGTACTCTCAGCCCCCATCTCACGCACTTCTCTTTCTCCTACAAAGAACCCAAAAAAGAAAGCAGACAGAGACCTCAGGACAGAGGAGAAAAATCCCAAGTGTTCACACAGTTACACGGAGTCTTTATGGCAAAGAGAACATTTAGCAGCTTTGAATATTGGGGCATCTCCTTTTTTACTCAACACAAGCATTCTAGACCCTATAAATGAAACAGGGTTCAAGCCCTAAAAAAATCAAAGCGCAAGAAATTCTAAGAGGACTAGTTTTGTTGTTGCTGAGTTGTGTAGGGTTTTTCTTTTTTTTTTTCAGTGACAAGCCCAGTTGGTAGGGGGAGGTATGAGGGAAGGGTCACTCCCCACTGTTGTGCTGAATACTGCCTGGAGGTTGTAGCGCTGGCTTCTCCCTCTTCATCCTCCCCCCCACCCCCCTGCCTCAAAGGCAGCCCCCAGAGGAGGAGGGCACAGGCCCAGTGCCCGGAGCACTGCTGGCAGCTGTACCTAACAGCTACAGGCAGCTGGTGGGGGGAGAAGAGGTGGAAGAGTACAGCATTCACATGCAGGCTCTGACAGAGACAGTGGGTGCCTCCCTCAGCAATGGCTGGAGCACACAAGGGAGATGGGAGTGGCAGGGCAGTGAGTGACATGCTTGGCGTTGGGGCTGCTGCAACATGGGGCCTCATGACCCTTTCCTGTTCACTTTACCCTTTGACCCTAAACCTCAAAGTCAGTGTTGGGTCCCTATGGCTCCCACCCTACTGAAAAATAATGGGAGACATCCAAGAGCCCCCCTTCAGGGATGCCAAAGTGCAGGGACCAGAAAGTTAACAAGGCCCCTCCCCCAGCCCACCATGTGTCTGTGTTATCACCCCTCCCCAGACTGAAATGGGGTTCACTCACACCAGTAACCTAGTCCCACCTGAGTCACTAAAACCTGCTGCCTGGAATCCTGGCCAAAGCCAAACTTAACCTTCCCTTAGTTTTCTTCCCGCTTTGATTTTTCTGGGTTTGTTTTCTTCCTTCCTTCCAGAAATGACACCTTCTACTACTTTCCCCTCCTTTCCCAAGTCCTTTCCTTTCCCTGTTGGCCTCTGCTCCGTACAGCTCCTTTACCTCCAGCAATGGCAACACTGCCCCCTCCGTTGAAGGAAAGGGGTAAGGGCGAGGACCCTGTCCGCCCAAATGGTCTGGCCACTTCCACCCCACCCCTGTAGGGGAAGCTGAGCCAGACAGTGCCTGTGCCCGCCTCTTCTGTACACTGACCCGCAGTCATCCCATCTGAGAAGATATATTGGATAAGAAGGCATTAAAGTCCCCGCTGTAGGTCCAGGTCCAGGCCCAGCCCTTCAGTTTCGGTCTTGGTGAGCGTCAACCCCTTTCTCTCCAGGCTCACTTCCTCCGGTCCTTTGGCTTCCTCTCTTGCCGCCGAGCCTGCTGGTCAGCCAGCGTGCGGGGAATGAGGAGGACACTGCCATCCCCAGCATACTGGAGTGCGTACTGGCTGGGAGAATAAGGTCGCCCATTCTCATCACGCAGCCGCCCAAACACCTCCTGGTACAGACTCTGGACCTTCTGCTTCATCTGCCGCAGTGACCGGAGGAACTCCACTTTCTCCCGTAGCAGCCGGGCTTTATCCTGTTGCAGGTCCTCCACGTCTCGCTCCAGGTTCAGGATAGTGTCCAGCTTACGCTTGCGGCAGTTCTGTGCCGCCATCTTGTTCTTGCCCCGGCGCCGGATGTCACGGATGAGGCTCAGCTGGGCCTCACTCAGCTGGTATTTGGACAGCAGCTCATTGAACTCCTCCACAGGCAGATTGATGATTTTGTCATTGGTAAAGGGGATCTTCATGGCTCGGGCTCGATGCTCATCCCGGCTCATCTGCTTGTCTAAGAAGTCTGCCTGCTTCTCCTTGCTACCTTTCTTGAGGGTGCTGGGAGGTGGCAGGTTAGCAGAGTCGAGGGCACTAGGTGCCATGTTGTATGTGTGGTTGTGGCCCACATGCTCCAAGTAGGGCAGGCAGGAGAGCTGAGACGGATCCTGATAGCTCATGCGGCAGAACTTGGAATACTCAGGCTGGTAACCCACAGCGCCCTCCGCCTCTTCCAGATCCAGGGTCTCAGAGTCAGAGCTGTAGCCCACAGCACCTTCCTCGGAAAAGGAGGAAGAGGCCGAGGAAGAAGCTGAGGAAGAGGAGGAGGAAGAGGAAGAAGAGGAAGAGCTGCCTTCAGAGCTGCTCAGGGAGGAAGGGCTATGGCTCGAATCCAAGGAGAGGCCTGAGTCAGAGTCAAACTCCTCTTCGAGCTGGGAGGCCTGCACAGGGTTAAAGCCTTCTTCAATGGCCAGGTCCATGAGGCTGATCTCATCCAGCATGGCTTCATCCAGCAGGCCCCCCAGGGGGTCAGGCAGCTCTGGGCCTGCTGTGTCATTGGTGGTGCCATTCAGCTGGGGCGGAAAGAAGAGCCCCGCCAGGTTGGTGGAGCCAAAGGTGGAGTTGAGGCTGGTGGAATTGCTGGGGACCAGGGGGAGCAGTGTGGAGCTGCCAGCCACAGGCAGGCTCTCCACCTCAGGGCTGAAGAGGGAGAAGTCCTGGCTGCAGCCTCCCAGAGATGCCTGATGCAGGCTGACATTCTGATTGATGGGAGTGTTGGGGGCAAGGCTGTAGTTGGTGCTCAGTGGGTCTCCAGGAGGGGTGTTGTACAGGATTTCACTGGTCGACGTGTTCACTTCCATGGCCTGGGAGGGGAGAAGAGCATCACTGTTCCAGAGTCTGAAGACCAGACTCCCTCTCCAGGTGTGGAAAGGGAGGAGGGTTCATACCCTGCAGGCTCCCAACAGAGCCTCAGTTGCACTGGTGTAAAGTAAGAGGTTGGAAACCAAAGCCCACAGGGTCATCTCCTGGCTCAGCTTGGGCCACCTGGCCTGGCAGAGATGGGGTCCTTCCTGTGGAATCCACCCCAAATACAGGACATGACCGGGTCCTGGTCATGTCTGGCCAGATTCCCCCCATCTTAAAGGGAGAATAAGGAAACACATAACCTTAACTACGTCTTTACTACTGCAAAATCAGCACCGAGAATAGAACACTCAGATTGGAGTCAGAACCGGGGCTTCAAACTGGTTTGAATGGGTTCAGTCATGGCCGATGAAGTGAAACCGGAACAGACCCAGATTTTTACAATCTGGGTGATGAGAAATGGGAAAAATTACAGGCTGAAGCCCTGGAACGGACTTGGAAGAGGCGTAGCGAGCTCCTTCAGGAGCCTAATGCGTGAGACTGGATTATCGGCAGGACCGTGGAGAGTGACACATTCAAAGCAGCACAGTCAGCCGCCATCTTTGAGCATGGCAGCGCCATTTCCAACTCTGTGCCCACAGGCAAGAGATTTGGCTGCTACACAACGTATACACTGTCCTTGTTTTCTAAAAGAGAGATTAAGTTTCTAACAAGGCTCCAATCTGTAATTTTTTCTCATTCCAGCTATAGCACCAGTTCACCCAAATTTTAAAAATTTGGGTCTGTTCCAGCGTCACTTCCTCGACCATGACTGAACTGGGAAAAACCAATTGGAAGCCCTGGTTAGAACACCTTTAAAATAATATTAGCTGATTAGAGCATTGTGAGGGCCAAGTGAGATGATGATGGCTGTCAAGCACTATGTGTATCAACGCTAGAATTAACGCCAAACCTTGGAAACACCCAGCCAAGTGACACTGCCTGAGGGAAAGAAAGAAGGTGCACTAGGTGGCAGACCCTGCTTTAGAAAGCTACTCTACCCCTCACTCCACCCTCTGCCACCCCAAGGATCCATACACCTGGGGTGTACGGATCAGAGAGAGAAACAGGTGTTACTCCTTCTTTCCCCAGAGATGGAAAAACACATCCGAGGAGTTTGTGCCCTGTTCCGATAATCCTACCTGCATTTCCATGATGGACATGAGATCCTGCCACTGCTGTTCCAAGTCAAATGGCGACTCTGTCCCCGTCAGGAGAGGAGACAGGAGGTTGTTCTGAAGAGCTGGAGGCTCACTCTCACTAGGCACTGCTTCTGCTATGCTGGAAATGTCTGCTGGAAACTGGGGTCAAAACAGACGCTTTAACAGGGGAGAAGGAAAAACCACCTTCTGCTTTCCTCCCAGAGGCTACCACCTGCTTTTCTGTGTCTTCCTTCCTCTGATTCACCCCCAGCAGCCAGGACAAGAGCTGGCACCTTAGCCAGCCATGGAGAAACATGCCAGGTGCAGGCGGCCCTGCTCAGCGGGCTCTCCCTGAGTCCTGCTCACCTCAGCATTCTCCCCAAAAGGGCAGGTGGCCTCCAGCAGCCTAAGGCACTCTTCCAGGGACAGGGCTGTCTGGTCCTCCCCACCAGGCACCTGTGGCAACAGCAACTGTAAGTCTGACTGACCTGGGCCTTGGCTGCCTGCAGGCTGAGGCCTCCTCCCAGCCTGTCCAAGGGGAAACTCCATGAGGAGCTGGCTGGTTGCAGGCCTGCAAGCTTCCTCCCATTTCTGGGACAATGGCTGGCCCTGAGTCCCAAACTCCAGGAACAAGAGAAGGGAGGTGGAAGAGTCCTAAAGCAGGAAGGAGGATGCCAAAGGCTTTGCCTCCTCTGTGCTGTTGCCAGGGCCTGGCCCCTCTGTGACTGCTGCTCACCCACACCCCCTCCCTAGCCCAGCCACTGTGACTTACAGACCCCAACACAAAATACACATTCTGGTCCATCCCGCAGCCACAACCTGTCTTCCTGAAGGGGACATTCCTGGAAGAGCTCCACCCCAGTTTGTGTGGTTTTGGGGGGGAGGTAGGGAAAAAAAGAGAACCCGGTGGGCAGAGGCAGTGTTACCTGTGCAGGGAAGCTCTCCCCAGTTTCTCCATCCACTAGCAGGTTCCGTGCCAGAGCCTCTGCATCCTCTCCAGGCCAGGTGTCCCCCTGCTCTCCTCCATCTTGCAGCTCCTTGTCCACATCCTGCTCCTTCTGGCGATGACTATAGTCAAAAATCTCACGCCCAGCCCCCAGATCAATATCCTGTCGCCAAAGGATGTCAATCAGATCTATGTCCTGAAAGACAGACCACCATGACTTTACTCTCAGGTCCCAGGGGCCCCTCCCTGTCCTGCTCCTCAGAGGTCCCTCCTCCTGTCACTCCAATTAGTCCTGGGTGGAGCCTCTCCTTGTTCTACACCTGCCCCTCTGCACCAGGAAGGCTTCACTCATCCATTTCCGGACACCACCTCCACCCCCGAAAAAGAGCCACTAGCAAAATCCAGTAGCGTGACCATCACCATATAAGTCTGTGGGCTTAGGATCTGGACCAGAGGCACACCCAGGCCAGAAGGCAGGGCCACCTCACCCTACATAAGAAGGAAGAAGGGAGCATAAGAAGGAAGAGGGTAGCGGGAGACACTTTCAATTTTAGGAGGAGAATCCCTTAAAACTCAGTTTATAGAGAGCTGGCCATGGCAAGCAGGGGCAAACTGTCATGCAGAATTGCTTCTTAGTGGCCAGGCTTGCATCAGCCTATGGTGCCATTTCATTTGCATAAAGGGGTGGGGTGGGCTGGAAAGGAAAATCCCTGCATTTCCAACCACCTGATGCAACCAATGACAATACCGGGCTATCTCCAGGCCTCCCTCCAGCCATTCCCCTTCCTTGGCTGACAGAGGAATGGGACTGAACACCCACAACTCCTAAAGCCCAGGCTCACCTCCAGAGCCATTCCTGCCAGAATTCCCGTTCTCAGCTGATCCCAGCAAGCTGCCTCTGTCCCAGGAGAGCCTCAGGCAGAGTCAGATGATCCCACTGGCCGCCCCACCCTGCCAGGCAGCCCCACTGTGTCCCCTCATCCAGTGCTCTCACTCCTTCCTTACCACACCCCAGGACTTCCTGACTTCCCGCCTCCCTAGGCAGTCAACCCACTCAAGGACATAGCCCGCATCGCTCTTCAGGCACGACTGCTGCCTTGGGCACCAGAATGCCTCCCTCCCGATCTACTCTAGTGGCTCCTGATCAGTTCCTGCACCAACTGCCACCCCTACTGCCACTAGCACAGAAGCCCCAGTAAATAAGAATCTTTTAGGCTTCATGTACCTGCCGCACCCTGTGCCTGAACCCTCCCCACCAGCCTAAGGAAACTAAATTGCTGCCTTCCATTCAGGGGTTAAAAAGCAGATACTTTCCAGAAAGCAGTATCTTAGCTCCACCTCCCTAACCCTAACCAGAGATCCCTCTCCCACCATAAACCTCCCGACTCTGACTCTAAGACCTCCCAGTTGTACCTCTCCCTACAATCTCCCCACATACACCAACCTGAACAGAAGCCCTGGACCCAGGAGCAGAGGGGGGCTGGGCCACCCGGTGAGCAGCCAGCAAAGAGTTAAGGGGCCGGCTCCCTTTGGCATGGCCCCCACCACTGTGAGAGCTTCGGTCCAGGCGGGTCATGGTCTGCGAGGTGAGCCCCAGGGCAGCCGGTGCCGGGAAGCCGGACAGGGGGCTGCAAGGAGCTCTTGGCTTGCGGGGAGCACACCAGGCTGGAAGGGTGGCCCCTTGCTAGCTCCAAGGGGCCCAAGGAGGGTGCCCCGCCCGTGCTGCTGCCTGGGCGGCCCGGCCCAGCCCAGCCCCCTTCCTCCATCCTTGAGCAGCCCCCTCCCACCTCACAACCCCAGTTCCACTCAGGCACCCGGCAGCCCCAACCCTGAGCTCACCGCAGAGGCTGCAGTGAGATGGGACTCCCACCCCATGCTCCGGGCTCAAGCTGCAGAGGAAAGCAAGCGCCCTCCTGGGCCTATCCTCCCGCTCCTCCCTCGCTCCCCCTCCCCACGCCCCCCAAACTTGTTACCTAGGCTGCAGCAAGGAGCCAATCCCCTCCCCCTCCCCCCCGCAGGTCACTGCTGAGGCTGCAGAGAGCCAATCCCCTCCCCCAGGTCAGCAGCTGGGCTGCGGAAAGAGCCAATCCCCTCCCACTGTCGTTACCTAGGCTGCGCCGAGAGCCAATCTCCTCCCCCAGGCCTCCGCTGGAGATGCGGAGGGAGCCAATCCCCTCCCACCGCCTGTTACCTAGCTGCAGCCGGCAGCCAATCTCTGCACCAGGGCAGCTGGGGAAGCTGCCGCAGGAAGCAGCCCATCCCGGGGCCGCCTCCGTCTCCTTGAGGAGATGCACCCAGGGGCGGGCAGCCCCACCCAGCCCAGCCAGTCAGCTGGGGTGGTGCAGTGTGTGCCCTGGGGGAAGGGGTGCCACGCTCCCTCCTGTCGCAGCCTGCCCCTCCCACAGCTTCTCTGGAAGCTAAGTTCTTCCCGGGAGTGGAAGCAGTTTTCCCGTTCCTCCCAAGGGCTGCACCCAGCTCTCCTCAAGCCCAACGATCACAAGCTAAACTGGGTGGGAACCCAGTACACCCAGACCCACTGTGAACCAGGGGCTCTGTCACCCTAAAATAGGTCAGACTAGAGAAAAGGTGAAAGCCATCTGCCCACGCGCAGAATGGCACATCCTGGCCAGGCCTAGCCCCAAGCAAGAGAGGAGACACAACCCGACGCCCTGCACTTAGGGAGACAGGTGCTCAGCAGGACCCCGGCCACCAGTACGTCACCTACTTCCCCATTGTCACCTACTTCCCCATTTACCTCCGTTTTGTGCAAGAATGTTCTCTGCCTGACCCCGGCCAACCCTCTCAAAGCAGGAAAAAGGCCCTTGTGATGCGCATCACAGTCAGACTCCTGGACTGGCTTCTGAAGAGATGTGGCTGCCCCCCGCACTGCTGCTCCCCTCGAGTCTAAGGTCAGGGCGGAGAGACAGTATGTTCTCCTTGGTCACAAACTGCTCCTAGCCTGGAAAGAGCTGTAAACAGGCCACCCCCCTACTCTGGGCAGAGTGCCAACCTTGAGGGGAATCCTATCCCTGACGAGGGCCCAGGCTATGGCTGTCCATTGAACAGGCCTGGCAGTGGGGGAGAGCTGCCACCCCAGGGATAATACCAGCTCCAGCAGTGCCTGTCACATGCTCTGGACCTGGGTATTTTTATCCCTGAGTTGCTGAGGAAATGTTCTAGACACATAATAATCTTCCCTTCCCCCACACCCAGCCTAAGCCCCTAATATTGGTTCCCCCAACCCCCAGAGAGAACAGTGACAGCCTGGGGTCAGGGAATGCACAACCTTTACAAGGGCCCAGAAACACAAGGAGAACAGAAACCTGCTCAGAAAGCAGGGTTAAAATCCCATCCCATTTGCCCCAACACATCCAACTATAGCCAAAATATCCCATCCCATTCAACCCCAAGAGCACGCCCGCAGGACAGGAGCAGAGCTACCCTTGCAGGTCGCCTGCCCAGGTTCCCGGGAGCAAGCCCAGTTACACCCACCCCTTGGAGAGCTGCACAGGAGGCACGCTTCTTCTGACTGCTGTGCCAAGTCTGGAGCCCACTTGAAGGAAAGGGAAGGGAAAGGGGATGCAGAAGAGGTAAAGCACCAAGAGGCATTGTAAGAACCCAAGAGAAGAGGGACTGAGAGGTAAGACATGCTCATGCCACCCATGCTCAGATAACCCTAAACCAACCAAACTCGTTGCCGTCGAGTCGATTCCGACACACAGCGACCCTATACGACAGAGTAGCACTGCCTCATAGGGTTTCCAAGGCTGTAAATCTTTACAGAAGCAGATTGCCACATCTTTCTCCCGCTAGGTCAAACAGCCGACCTTTCGGTTAGCAGCTGAACGCTTAACCACTCTGCTGCCAGGGCTCCTCAGGTAACCCTAGTCTCTCTCAAAGCTGATCCAGTATGAGCCAGCTGAGCATCCAGCAGGGTTTCTCAACCTTGGCATGACTAATATTTGGGGCTGGATAAATCTGTTGGGGGGGCTGTCCTATGCATTTTCAGATGTTTAGCAGCATCCCTGGCCTCTCCCCACTACACGCCAGTTGTGACAACCAGAATGTCTCCAGACAAAGCCGAATGTCCCCTGGGGGACCAAACTGCCCATAGTTGAGGATCAATGGCCTAGAGGAGGCCATATTCTTTGACAGTCTCTAACATTTAGAGAACTGAGGTCAGGCACAGGCTCGAATGCAGGGAGGAAGGCAAAACCTTGTCTGACTTGGTGGGCAAGGGAGCCAAGTTGTCTAGCTCTGTGGACCTTTTTCCATACTCCACATCCCCTCCTCAGTATCCCACACCCTCAACCAGGCCTAACCTCTAGAAAACGCAGCCCAATATATATAGCCTTCTTCCCTAGTGGCCAGGAGAGTGCAGTGGGCCTCTCCTTAAGGCTGGGTGGCAAGCCAGAGCCAGATAACAAGCAGTCTTAGCATCGTGTTGGTGGGGTAGGGGGAACAGCAGCCATTCCCACGGCTAAAGGCAACTGCATCACTCTGCCCAGAACAGTAAGTCAGCCCACATGACAGAAGCGAAAGATCTCCTCTGACAGCTCAAGGCGAGCAGAATGCAGCTTCTCTTCAAGCTCCCAACCCCCTCCTCCCTACTCCCTGCAGTAGGCCTTCAGCAAAGACTGGGAGCCTTGACCCTCTCCAGGCCAGGAATAACTCTCCAAATCTAGCCCTTGGCTCAGGCCCAGGAGAGCTGACTTATCAGGACCTCACAACAACATGCCTGACCACAAAGGAAAAGAACTTCAGGGTATGGATGTGTGTTTTGATTTGGGGGTGGGGGGGTGGGGGGAATACAGGGCAAGAGTCCACCAAGTATTTGTGTCTTAGCAACAGATACACACTGCATCAAAGCCCATCACAACATGATCCCTCCCCCACCATGTGCCTCCAGAAGTCGTGTTGAAATCCAAGCAGTAAACATGCTGGCATGTTCTACGAACCTCCCACTGCCCTGACAGTACGTTAAGAGGTAGGTCAATGGTTCAACACGGTGAAATGATCCCAGCCCCTAATCTCACCTCTAAGTCAGCCCATTCCCATCCAAGAACAATACCTGAGACTCCCCTGGAACCTACCTGGTTCTTTAAAGGGATTAGTGATATGACCACAGTCTTTCAGGACCAGCCCGCCCCACTACCCCCAGACCCCACCCACTCACCACAGGGCCACTAACCTCTTTGGTTAAGTCTCCACTGACTGGAGGGGCTACAGCCCCCAAATCCTCCAAATCTTCACTGAATCCCTGTTCCGTTTCGCTTTCTCGCACCCCGTTGTCTGGGCCTGTCACATCTTGGAGGCCACTGGAACTCTCGAGGGTGAGGCCTGAACTGGGCTGGCTGCCAGAGACAGAACCCTCCGGGTCCCGGTGGACCAGCCAGGCGTTTACCTCAGTAGTCGGCACCTGAAACCTGTCCAGGGCCCTCACCTGACTGAGGAGCCGCCGCGCAGTGAAGTAATTGTCCAGGTCTATGCTCTTGGGGTGGATACCATAGCCATCCAAAGTATTCCTCAGATTGTGGAACTGGGTCTGAGTATAGGCAGAACTGGGCCCCAGGATGATCTCCCGGAGTGGGGGGAGCTGTGAGGTCAGGTAAGTATCCACGTCCACCCGCACCCCAATCAAACTCAGCAGAATGGTGAACTGGAGGAGTCCTTCCGTTAAGTATTTCTTCAGAGAAAGCATTGCTGAAGGACCAGAATGTTTATGCTTTTTGGTTTTTAAATCTTCCAAAACACAAATCAAGGCCACTGCTCTGCTGCTCCAGCCAGCAAATTACTCTCCTCAGTGCCAAACCCTGCACCTCACCCTGGCAGAACACAGGGGCTGAGCTCCCTGATGGGCCCAGAGGAAAGCACACCCCGTGGAGCCAAGGCCACACTCCAGACCACATTCACTTTTCCCTTCTTGACACCTCACCTCTGAAAGCGCAACTGTTCCTAACCCAGTCCAGGCCCTCAGGGCCCATGTGACTTACTGTCTCCACAGTCCACATATAGTCACTTCCTCACTCACATTAGCTGTCCTCTCTGTAGATTCCACTGCAGGCTGTTCTCAGAAACAGCTGATGGACCTTTTTTTTTTTTCCTTCTCCCTCCTAAGGTTTATTTTCTTTGGCTGGAGCTACAGGCCTTTTGTCTTGGGTCAGAGTGTCCCGCCTCCTCCACACTTACCAGGGGGGTTTCCAGAGAAACCTGTAATGGGAATCACAAGACCAACAAGGTAAGATTCCATGCTTTGCACACCATGATGAAGGTAGGAAAAACTTCATGGTAAAAGGTAGGAAACACATTCTAAGAAGAGGCCACTTTTACAGGAGGAAAAATAAATCACTTATTATACCCCCAAGAACAAGCAAGCAAACAAATCCTGTTATAGGTCAAATAACTATAAAAGGAAAATATCACTCACAAAGGATCCCTGCTACTGAATATTATATTTGCAATACCCTAAAAGGTAGCCTACTTTGGATAAGCTGACAATGCCCAGGGCATCCAAAATATTTTACATGTTGCCTGACTTACCATCCCCTCCCCCCACCAACACTCTACCCAGCTTCTATTTTTAATGTGAGAAGTCAATTTTCCAACTTAAAGTTAAGTTCGTTTCCCATCTCTCAGAAGAAAACTTTCTACGATTCTTGCCCCTTCCAGCTGTAAAGCGGAGAGAAAGATCATTAATGTGTAAGGGTGTGAAAGGACACAGGGACAACGGTCAGGCCACCACTTCACACAAAAGAATAATGCCTTTTGTTTTTCCAACTTTGAAATCTGATTTCCCTTTCCTATCACTCCCACATTAAAAAAAAAGAGAGAGAGAGAGAGATCATGGGGGCCCGAGGAAGGATTATTTCATCCAGAATTTGCACAGACAGGTTTTATTTTCATTCACCTTCTGAGCCAAGCCACCAAGTTATGGCCAAACTCTCAAGCCAGACTGCCAAGTGGGGAGGGGGTATATCTGCCTTTCAGTTTCTAGTCTCTGCTTCTGAGCTGCCATTAATTTCATAAATCAAGACATACCCCTCTCCTCTTCACTGCTGCAACGCATCTACCATCTTCAATCTAAAGGGAAGAGCGATCTATATACACATACACACACACACACACACTCACACGCGCGCGCGGGTTTCGTCAGAGTAAACACAAGTGCGACCCAGGATTCCTACTCTCTCGTTCTCATGCAATTTAGTATTAAAACCTCCCAAGAGCCAAATGAGTTCGAGAAACCGGACAAAGTCAAAGATCCGGTAGGGCCAGAAGGCCCTGGTCTGAGTCCGGGCCAGTCCCACCCTACCCCGAATACCCGCGTCCAGCTGGGACCAAGTCGCCATGCCCACTCTCAGCGTCTCAGCTTCTAGCCTTCCGGGGCAGCAGCGAACAAGTGCTATTTTCCCGGCCTTGACCCACCCTTAAAGCCAATCCCACCCCGCCCTCCGTTCCTATAGCCCCACCCCGCTCCCAAGCCCGGGTAAAATACCACGCCTTCCAGTGCCCTCAACCCTCCCCAGGCCGGCCCACCCGGATGCCTGCCTTCTTCCCGGCCCTGCGGCCCTTCCCTGCCATACCCAGGCCCGGACAAGAGCCCCGCTCGGCCGCCCGCTCCCACACCTGACCCTCAAATCCACCCCGCCGCCCCTCACCCCATAGGGCTCGACCCCGCGGCGCTGCGCCTCTCTCGTCAGGGGAAGGAAAAAATGTGCCCGATACCCGTTGCTGCGCTCGGCGTCCGCCGCTGCCGCCACTGCAGGCCCCTTAGACGGAGTCCCGGCCTCGCCGCCGCCACCGCCGGCCGGCCTAGAGCTCCCCTGCCTCGGCTTCCCTCCCCGCGCCCTCCTCCCACCTCACTCGGAAGCCAGCCCGCGCGGCCACCCCCGGAACAGGTTTCTCCAATCAACAAGCCCAGAGCCTGGCAATTGCCGGATGTAGCTTTGATTGACAGAAAAGAGAGCCCAATGGATGAATGTGTCTCCTCCTCCGCCTGCCCGATCTCACAAGACTGACATGGACCACGGCCCAGTGGGTGTCTAGGCCCGCCCCGCAGAGTGGTCCCACCAATGACTGGCACGAAGCCCCTATTGCCGGGCATTCTGGACCCTTTTGCCGAACTCGGCTGCGGGAGGTCTTACAGACTGGTCGCTGAGGAAAGGATGTTGGTTAGGCTTTTCCAGTGCATTTTCCGGCTAGGAAATGAGGGCCTAGGACAAGTAGTGGGAAGTGGCATTGCCGCCGGAGCGCGGAACCCCCCTCTTGAGGGTTCCCACAGTGACTTGCAAAAGTCAGTGAGATCCGAAGGGGCCGGGGCGGGGCACGGAGCATGTGGTCCTCGCGGCGACGACTCGCGTGCCTCCATTTTGGATGCTGGCTGCGGAAGCCTCTACCCCAGCTTCTTAGCGGTGCTGGCCTGGCGCGCCTCCCCCCAGCCACTCCGTGACGGCTGTGCCTAAAGTCCCAGGCAAGAGCCTCACCTCGGAAGTAGCCCCACGGATGGGTTGCCACGACGGTGATGGGAAGGAAGTTGGGATATGAGAGATGTGGTGTGATAGCGATTTTTGTCATGACAGAAACACCCCCTAGAGCCTACCCTTCCTCCCCCAGCATAGCCACCTACGGAGCTGAGTCTTTCCCTTTAAGAATTTTGCTCAGTTGACAGAGTTCTGCAATCCCATCTAGTCATACTTTCCAAAACATCTTTGTTTGACTGGAGCTTTAATCTACTCCAACATTATCTGGGGAGCTTGTTTAATTTGCAAATTATGGCGGCCCAATAACCTGCCTGTGCATTAAACGACCCTGGTAATTCTAATGCAGCTAGTTCGAAGACCACTTTTAGGCGATCACTCTATCGGAGTTTGTAGTGCTTCCAGCTGTGGGACAAAGAGGTGTCAACTCAAATTCCTGCCTCTCTTGAAGAGCCCATAATCTAGTGGACGAGTCGTTGGTCCTTGTACAACTAAGGGCAAGGCAAACTGATAACTCTCTAGATAAGAACATAAAGTATATCACGTTTCCAGAGATAGAGGCTTAACGTTGGTGGTTCACAGATTACAAAGCACTTTCACTGTACATAAATAATGCACCAGCATCCAATCCTTGAATCCTCATGAAATTACTGAGCTAGTTACCCCTTTCAAAGACTGATGCATAGAACACATGTTTTACTTACTCATTTACTATCTTCCAGTAAATGCTGGAATATAAACTCCATGAGGACTAGGATTTTGTGCATTAGTCACCATATCTACAAAACCTAGAACAGTGCCTGGAACTTAGAAGACAATATAATACTTGTTAATTAACTGAAAAGGAACTCAAGCAAGCAGGTTTGTGATTAGAACTTACTGTTAAAATTAAGAATTGATATTTGGAGAAGGTATGGTTTTGAAGGATATAGCAGGTTACCAAGGAAATGAGAGAGCATTCAACCCCTGAATTAGCAAGGCCATGAATATTAATACTGCTATTGGGTAAGAAGGGAGGAGAAATTGAGATATGACCATTAACTCCAAAAATAAATCAAAGGGGTTGAGAGAAATCATCCAAAAACCATAAAACTAAAAGATATTAAGCTGAGACTAGTATTGTTGTGTGCTGTCAAGTCAATTCTGACTTACAGTGACCCAACAGGACAGAGTAGAACTGCCCCATAGGGTTTTCTAGGCTGTGATCTTCATGGAAACAAAGCACCTGGTCTTTTCACCCACAGAGTGGTTGGTGGGTTCGAACTTTGATGTGGTGCAGTGAAACCCATGTGAAATTGTTCACTACAGATTAGGTATTGGGTAATCAACCCCTGCGTGCCACATCTGCCTCCTGAAGAGCACCTGGTGGGTTTGAACCTCCAACCTTTTTGGTTAGCAGCCAAGCGCTTAACCACTGTGCCACTGGGGCTCCAGACTAGTATTAATCAAAAACCAAACCTGTTGCCATCAAGTCAATTCCAACTCACAGCGACCCTATAGGACAGAGTAGGACTGCCCCATAGAATTTCCAAGGCGCAGCTGGTGGATTCGAACTGTCGACCTTTTGGTTAGCAGCCAAGCTCTTAACCACTGTGCCACCAGGGCTCTGGTCTGTAGGTATAGAAGGGTCCATCGCACTCATAGGGTCACTATGATTCAGAATCGACTTGATGGCAACAGAGTAGTATTACAGGGGTTTAAATAAACAAGATTATGTTAAGAAGGGATCCCTGGTGGTACAGTGTTTAAGAGCTAACCAAAAGGCCAGCAGTCTGAATTCATCAGCAGCTCCTTGGAAACCCTGTGGTGCCGTTCTCCTCTGTCCTATAGGGTCACTATGAGTCGGAATTGACTCGATGGCAACGGGTCTGGTTTTTTGGTTTTATTTTGAGAAGGCAGAAAGAAAAATTGCATACCACGAGTGGTCATTCATTTGACATAGCAAATACAGAACAATTTTAAGCCCTGACACAGTTATAAAACAAAACAAAATTCTGGGCAATCCTGTATCTATGGGGAATTAGGAAACCTTCGAGTCAACAAAACTGACTGTTTTGGACAAGTAGGTTTGTATTTTCCAAGGAGCACAGCAGGGTACCAGATGCCTGTTGTTGTTAGTTGCCACTGATTCCAACTCCTGGTGAATAGAGTAGAACTGTGCTCCATAAGGTTTGCAAGGCTGTGGTCTTTCGGAAGCAAATCACCAGGCCTATCTTCTGAGGTGCACCTGGATGGGTTCAAACTGCCAGCCTTTCGGCTAGTAGTCGAGCACTTAACCATTTGTGCCACCCAGGGACTCCTACCAGGTACCTTAACCACTGCACCACCAGGACTCCACCAGGTGCCTAGGATAAGAAAGAAAATCATATGGTGTATATAAGACTGACTAACGTGAAATCATATGAGATAAATATTCGCTGAAATAAAACGTGGCAGCTGGACGTGGGGAGGCCACATTGGGGAGATAAAGGATGACACTGTCATGTCATTCAGAGAGCCTAAATTCACTGATCACTTTGTAACGACTCAAATATCTTGGATTGTACTTTTACCCATCCACTCCTTTCCCTTCTCTCCTCTCTGAGGTCCTGGGTGTGGAGGGAGTGGCAGGCTCTCAGAATGGGAGGGGGCTCCAAGTTAATCCTTGGAGAAGGGGTAGGAGATCCTTCGTTTTTGCCCGAACTATCCCATTCATTTTCTTTTGCCTCCCGACTTCAAGTACTGTGTATAAATGTGTATAATGATTAATTATCTGTGTGTAAAATGGAGGAGAAATGCATCAGAAACTGTATTTTTGAGTTAAAGAATAACTGGGAGTAGTCTCACAAAGGTGGGAAGTAAAAGTGAAAGACAGAATTCCTGGCCCATTGGAGGGGCTAAGGACACTATAGCAATAGAGATGATCTCAATCGTAACAGCAGGTGGTTAGGCCTGGCAGGGCGGGGGCGCCTAGGATATTTAATACTCCCCAGTGGAGGTGGAGACCTAAAGACAGTCTTCCACTCTGTCTTAGAGTTCCAGATCAAGTCTGAGCAGGTACAAACCTCCTTCCACAACCCACTGGTTAACTTGTAAAATCCAGGGTGTGTCCTTCTTCACCCAAAAAGCCACCCTCCTCCCTTCTCCCACCCCACCCCCCTTGCCTGGGACAGCTGTTAATAGGACAATTGCCCAAGAAGCAAGAGAAAGATCCCATACTGATGTGTCATCAGTCTCAGTATATCCATTCAATCAGACGGAGAAGACCACGGAAAAAGTGAGCACACGTGCTTGCTCCCTAAGGGCTAGAGGCTCAGTAAAACCAGGCCTTGTCTGGTGATTCCAGGCTGTTCAGGCTGTGCCAGGAAGAGGGTTAGTTCTAATGCACAGGGATTTGGCCTCATAAAAAGAGCCAGCTAACTATAAAACATACCCTGAAATCCCCGCTCATCCCGGGAATATCTGTGTCAACCTAGCTTCCCCCGTTGGAAAAGCTGCTGCTGCTACCAGCAGTCACATCCATCCTGCAGTCATCCCTGGAGGATGACATCTGCCTGGAGGCCCTCCGAGAAGGGGCTGTGGAAGGGCACATTGATTGAGGCTTGGATTTCCTCTGGAAGAGCAGGAACTGCCTTTTTCCCTAAGGAGAAACCCAGCCTTTCTGCCATTCTGGCTGCCCATTACTTTTTCTTCTTTTAAAACCTTTTTAAATGTTGCGAATCTATATAAGTATTTCTCACTCTCCACCCCCACCTAATCCAGGGGAATGGGTTACATGACTGCCTGAGACTTCCTTACAGCCCTTCTGAGAGAGTCTAGGATTACATCCTGTCAATACTAAATGTTAGCATGTCTTGCAAGGAAATCAATTAGTTTTCTTGCTAATCCCAACATCTGGCCCCCTTTCTTACATGGTAAACTTCTTTAGCAAGCTTGTTAGCATTAAACCATCAAAAGAGGAAAAGCTCTTCTACAAACCAACCTCTTCCCTGTGCACCACCACCACAGCTATCTGACAAGATTGCCTCTCAACCCTGGCTTTACATTAGAATCACCTGGGGAACTTATAAAAAAGACCCAGGCCCAGGTCCCACCCTGGACCAATTAGTAGGCATCAGTAGGCTATTAAAATTTCCTCAGGTGTGCAACCCGAGTAGAGAATCACTAGCTTAGAGCAAGAATCCAAATTGGGTAAAAAACAGCAATGGCAGTGCAGAGGAGAATCATCACCTCATGGAGAATGTACTCTTTGTCCAGCCTAAGATGCTCTCTTCCTTGACGTATACAATGAAAATGCCCCGTTGTTCATTCATGTGTTGATTTAACAGTTTATGAAGCTCGGCTCAGCTCTCCCATGTGTCTCACCACATTAGTGTCCTGTGTCCCAAACAACACTGGGTGATTCTCTTCGCATAGTTCTCAGTGTGGCGTATCGCAATCAGGGAGGTGGAAAGAGTGCAGGCTTTCGACTCAGAGCTGGGTTCAAAAATCTGGCCCTGCCACTTACTAGTTGGGCTATGCTGGGCTCAGTAGAGATAACAATACGCTTATTCACAAAGGTTTAAAATCAGATCATGTGTATAAAGCCACTCGTGCATGGGTAGGGCTATGTCAGGTCCCTTTCTCTCCGAACTCTCTTCACCTACCCCACCACCTTGTCCCAAGGAAAGCCAAATATGTTGAAGAAATGAGAGCTGACCTTAGAACGCTCTGCTGGAAGCCCATGCTGCAGACAGCCGTGGAAGCATTCATTTTCTCTCTTAGGGACGCCATAAGCACACACATCCCTGCCTCATATTCCACATACACACCTCCCCCTCTTGACATTATAGCAGGAAGGATGGAGAGAGGCTGTTACCCAAGGGAGCTGTTTCTTCTTGTCACACAAGAGCAGATGCTGAAATCCTAGGACAGACAGCACAGAAATGCGGCTGCAGGAGGGTGAGTCAGAGAAACGGACTGGTCTCACCTCCGAGATCCACCAAGGCCCAAAGCCAAACCCCACTTGAATCCCTCACTTCCTGGAGACTCCAGAGGGCAGGGATATGTGTGTTTTCAGGACCAAGTAAGAGTCCAACATTCCACAGGCTCCCTTCCTCACCCCACTGCAGCCAGAAAGGAGCACAGTGAGCAGAGAAACACAAGGCTGCATTCTTTTTGAACCCACCTTTGGCGTCCTCATTCCGGTTAGGCTGTCCAGCGGATTTTTTTCTGCTGGGCTGTACACTTCTCAAGTCCTCTGGGGTGATGCTCTGTGGAAGACACCGTTCTGACCCAGTGCATGCTTAGTGTCTACCATTTCAAGGTGCACCTCATGCTTAGGTGGGGGAGGGCACAAGGAAAGAGAGGAGTCCTGGAGTTTGTTCTGAGAGAGTTTGGGGAATGGCCATCGTTGGGGAGAATCTCTTCTTTGCAAAGCTGAACTTGAGGGCTCCGAATTCACTTATTCACCACTCCACCTAGAATATAAAGAGATTCTAATGATTATCACACTAGCAACAACAGTGGTGGTGGGAGCAGTGATGAGGGTGTTGTGGTTCATAAGCTTCCTTCTCTGGCCACCTCTCAGCCCAGCCCCAGTGCCTTCCCATCCACTCTTTGTGTAGTAACTGGCCCACCTCTCCCCGTGGAGCCACACCAGCTCCCTGAGTCCCCCTACCTTCCTGGTTCTCCCTCCCTTCTTCTGCAGGCTGACCTTCTTTGTAATGGTGGGTACCAGATGCCAAACAGAGGCTGGGAAATGCCCCCAGAGGCTTTTTGGTGCTGTCCTTGTAAATACAAACTAAAAACTGACTAGTTCACAGAAATATTAAGGTGTCAAAATAATCAAATCAGTATTTTTTCTAACTTACCCAGTTGACACGACCATTGACAGTAGTAACTTCTGATGACCTAGAATCCAAACAAATGAAAAGCCCAAATACTGGGTCTTTTTTTCCCTTATTGTACTAAATAATGTTGACTAATGTTCACTATTATAACTCTGATTGCCTGTCAGGAAGACTGGAATGTGCCTTCTAAATCATCACAGAAAGAGGTTCAGTGGATGTTTTCTCAGATGTCTCCATGGCTCCCTCCCTCTCCACCTTCAGATCTTCGTTCACACACACACACACACACACACACACACACACTCGAACATAAGCAAATATGTTTATTTTGTTTACTGTTGTATCCCAGTGACTAGAAAAGTACCTGGTACATAATAAGCACTCAATAAATATTTGTTCAGTATATCAAATATGGTTTAATTGATAAGTACATTCAATTTTTTTTATTGTGGTGACATATATGTAACATAAAATTTTTCCTTTTAACTATTTTTAAGTATGCAATTCAATGGCATTAATTACATTCACAATGTTTTACAGCCATTACCACTATTTCCAAAGTAAGTGCATTTTATTGTTTGTCAAAAATATTTATATATTATATTCCTCCTCTTGAATTCATTTATTCACTCATTTACTCAGCAGATGCCAGTTAAGTACCTGTCATGTGCCAGGCCCTGTGCAAGGCAACAGGGATCTGATAGTAAACAAGACAGACACATAATCTATATTCTTGTGGGGCTCATAGTCTGATGGGGAGGAGGACTATACACATTTGTATAAGCAAATTAGTAGAAATGATATTTAGAGATTGAGAAAAGTACGATGAAAGAAGTAGGATACTGAGATGGAGCACGTTAGATACAGAGACGGCCTTTGAGTGATGACTTTTAAGAGTCTTGAAGACTAATAAGGCTTGATGCTACTCAGAAGAGGAAAATCCTATTGCCCAGTCATCTTCAGTGAGTGTGGTACACAACATAAGAGGCCTTGAAGAGAAGAACAGAGAAGAAATTCCAAGTCTAAAACTTGAGTTCCATCCCCACTCATCTATTAGTTGTACTATCTTGAAAAGAAATCTTGGTGGCACAAACAGTGAAGGGCTCAGCTGCTAACCAGAAGTTTGGTAGTTGGAACCCACCCAACCGCTCTGTGGGAGAAAGACCTGGTGATCTGCTTCCATAAGGATTACAGCCAAGAAAACCCTAGGGGGCAGTTCTACTTTGTCACATGGGGTCACTATGAGTAGGAATCAACTTGAGGGCACCCAACCATCCTGAAAATGTCCAGCAAACTGAGTCTCCCTTTCCTTATCTCTAAACTGGGGGTAATAGCTACCTAATACCTCACAGGAGCCCTGGTGGTACAGTGGTTAAGAACTACGGCTGCTAACCCAAAGGTTGGCAGCTCCAATCCATCAGCTGCGCCTTGGAAATGCTATTGAGCAGTTCTACTCTAATAGGGTCGTTACGAGCCGAATTCGACTCGATGGCAATGAGGTGGACTAATACCTCACAGGTGTGGGTTATATTAGATAATGTCTGTGAAAGTGTTTAAATAGGGCCCCTGTTTGTTCCAGTTTGAACCCCAGCTGAGAATTTGCATTTCTAACAAGTTCCCAGGAAGTTATACATAAGAATCACCTGGAGATCTTGTTAAACTGTAGATTCTGATTCAGTATATCTGGGGTGGAAATGCAAATTCTCAGCAGGGGTTTCAACCAATGGAACCAGTTTGTAGCCCTGGTTTAAATGTAAAATACTCACCTGATGTTGTTAAGGGTAAATGGATAAGTACCATGGTAAGTGTAAATTTCCTACTGGCTGGGGTATCCTGGGGTGGAATCTTGTCCTCTAGCATACTTCCATCAAGGAAACCAAAACGAGTGGCAAAGCCTGACACCATTAGTGGAGTATTTATGCCACTAGGCATCTGTCTTTGTTCACATTGGGCTGTGTCTTGGGAAGCGTCCCAGGGGCCAGGGCTCCCTTCTCCAAGTACTGTGAGACCCTCTTCTCCACAGAGGACTGCTCAGAACTGCCCTCATCTGCTCTCACTGATAGTGTCTGCCTCTAAGACTCAAAGAATGTCCTGACAGATTTGTCCGATAGTGCCCTGATAGGGGTCAAGAGATAAAACTGGGGGTTGCCTGTGTCTTCTGCTGAGCCCAGGACAGCCTGCGGACGCCGGTGCACACCAAACCTACAGGCGGCGGAGAGGAGGCAGGAGATGGGAAGAAGGGCCGGTCCTGGGGCAAAGAAAGGATACGATCTTTAGCTCTGGGCTTTAAGGACTGGAAAGGAGGCGAGGAGGAGAGAGGGAAAGGAGAGGTGGAGGAAGGATCTCGGGTGTGGGGCGCGGGGAGGGCTGGCGGGGAGAGTAGGGAGACTAGGACGAAAGGGCCGTGGGGGGAAACAAACGACAAGGACGGGAGATGGGAAGAGAGGGGGCCGCGAGGCCTGCGCCGCCGGCTGGAAGTGGGCGGTGGCCTCCGGGGGCGGCGCAGGGCGGGCGGCGCTGTCAGCGCGAGG